TGCTTTTAACGACCCTAAAACATCTAGAACTGGCCCTAACCCCAACCCACCTACGTCCTAAGACAGAATGCAGCCTAGGTCCCACGACTGCATGCAGCCTAGGTCCCACGACTGCATGCAACCTAGGTCCCGCGACTGCATGAAACCTAGGTCCCACGACTGCATGCAGCCTAGGTCCCACGACTGCATGCAACCTAGGTCCCACCACTGCATGCCACCTAGGTCCCACCACTGCATGCCACCTAGGTCCCACCACTGCATGCAGCCTATCTATCGTCCGAAAATATTACATTGTCCCTTGACCTGTGAATTTTCCCTGTTTAGGGCAGGATATTAAGAAAGCACCCAGATCCTATAAATCACAAAGACGTCTTGCCGGCGCTTAGCAATGTTCATTGCAGTAAGCTGTTCTCATGACTGCCTGAAAGAAACTCAGTCTCTTGCCAGTGCTCCTAGCTCGTGCACTTTCCTACCCACGGGTCCACGTATATCCTGTGCCCATCTTCGTGCTGGTCGGCCTCTACACCCATTTCCTTCTACAGCGGCGTCCGTGGCTTAGTTGTTGCGAGTCTGAATCGTAATTACAACGTACCGCGATCGAAACCCACTGCTGGCTTCGTGGATTTTCATCATTGTATGGGGCGTTGCAGGTCGACCCAGCCTAAAATGGGTACCAGGATATGTCCTAGGGAAGTAAAGACGGCCGGTGTAATGCTGACCATATTACCGACCTAGTGCCGATTGGTCTGTAAAAATGTGGGTGCTCTTCCCATATACCCGAAGCGCCTAAAGCGTGAAAAGGAATCGTTACTTTATTTTATGCCTTCTACTATTGTTATTTCCAATCCGCCATAGCGCTTGGTAAAACCAACATATTTCAGTTTCCGAGACAAGATGCCGTTTATTTGCCAGTCTTCTTTGATTTTCAGATCTTTAACGGTGTATTTCTTCTCTTCTTGCTCTCTGGTATTTTTGAGAATATTTCTGTTTAGAATTTCAATCCCGAATCTCCTGTTTTCTTCCTGCAGTTTTTTAGGATAATCATTTAGTAGTTTCCCTAAGGCACGTGGCTTTAGACTTGGGCAACCTTTTAGACTGCCACTAGACTTCCAGACGTCGGGTTTACTCTTTGAGCTGCCACTAGACATCTAGATGTCGAGTTGACTGTTTAAGCTGCCACTAGACATCTAGATGTCGAGTTGACTGTTTAAGCTGCCATTAGACATCTAGATGTCGGGTTGACTGTTTAAGCTGCCACTAGACATCTAGATGTCGAGTTGACTGTTTAAGCTGCCACTAGACATTCAGATGTCGGGTTGACTGTTTAAGCTGCCATTAGACATCCAGATGTCGGGTAAAACTGTTTAAGCTGCCACTAGACATCCAGATGTCGGGTTGACTGTTTAAGCTGCCACTAGACATCCAGATGTCGAGTTGACTGTTTAAGCTGCCACTAGACATCCAGACGTTGGGTTGACTGTTTAAGCTGCCACTAGACATCCAGATGTCGAGTTGACTGTTTAAGCTGCCACTAGACATCCAGATGTCGGGTAAAACTGTTTAAGCTGCCACTAGACATCCAGATGTCGGGTTGACTGTTTAAGCTGCCACTAGACATCCAGATGTCGGGTAAAACTGTTTAAGCTGCCACTAGACATCCAGACGTTGGGTTGACTGTTTAAGCTGCCACTAGACATCCAGATGTCGAGTTGACTGTTTAAGCTGCCACTAGACATTCAGATGTCGGGTTGACTGTTTAAGCTGCCACTAGACATCCAGATGTCGGGTTGACTGTTTAAGCTGCCACTAGACATCCAGATGTCGGGTTGACTGTTTAAGCTGCAACTAGACATCCAGATGTCGGGTTGACTGTTTAAGCTGCCACTAGACATCCAGATGTCGGGTTGACTGTTTAAAAAACAACAATGTAGCGGTAATTCTGTCAGCATCAACACACAAATATGGCGGATGTGTCACAGTTAACTGCCAGAATGTAAACAGTTTATCCGATTGTAAATTAGCCAGATTTTGTATAATACTCTTCACGACATGGTTAGATATTCCAACACCAATACATTTTTTTCTGCCGAGACGGAAATCTAATTATCAATCTGGCTTAAGGGAAGCTGATCGCACGAGGATCTAGCTAAACTTGGGCCCCTCTGTCCGCCAGTTCCTCCATCTTCTCTCCCGCCGGGACCCTCACATATTCTGCACAGTCGCACCTCTTTATTGTGAGGAGCGGCTCTCTGAACGGTCAGCACGCTGGGTTCTCAAGCCGGAGACCTGGGTTCGATTCCTCGGTAAGGCTGGGCATTTTTTTCTTTCGGCAGCAAATAAAACCTCACCTGCACAGTCATGGCGACAGCACTAGCCATGCTGCCGTAAGTTCGCAGGCTCAAAGATCTCCGATTCATCCCTTTGTCCCTCGTCCAGATTTTGTTTCTGTTGACATAGTTGAGTATGTTTATTCTGTATTTTTTATAGCCTGTTAGTGGAAAATGTCGTTATAAACAAACAGCGAGCCGGCACTTTTTCGTTTCCAAATCCGCCACCCTTAAACAGACTGACAGGCGCATGGTGCGGAAGGTATAGGCAGACACAAATTCAGACAATCACACAGTCAGGGACCGTTGGTTGTCTTCAGTTTTCCTGGCCCGTGGAAATGTTATGTTCATATCGATTCTACCCAGACGATAATTACAAGTATCGATTCATTCTCTCTCTCTCTCTCTCTCTCTCTCTCTCTCTCTCTCTCTCTCTCTCTCTCTCTCTCTCTCTCTCTCTCTCTCTCTCTCTCTCCCCTCTGTGTGTCTCTCTCCCCCCCCCCTGCAGTGTATATGTTGTGTCTATATGCATTACTGTGCCTGCATTGTGGGGGGGGGGGGGTGCTTTTTGTTTTGTATTATGTTCTGTGTCTTCGGGTTTATGTATACCTGCGTATGTTATGACGGTGAATGTGTTGTTAGTATGTTCTCCTCAGTGTGTGTAAATGTAATTGGTATATATGGGTGTATTTGTGTCTGTTCTGCTGCTTCATGTGTGTCTGCATTATGTGTGTAGCTTTGCATGCATATTTGAATGTATGCATTTGCCAACGAAACTTTTGAGAACTTTTTTTTTTTTTGGGGGGGGGGGGGGGGGGGGGATATTTTAATTCATACAATGAATTGTTATGTATGACCATAATATGCTTGATATATAAAATACAGTTTGCTTGTGAAAGGTGAGTGTTTGAAAAAGCTGAATCTAAGACATCTTAGTGACCAATTTCTGAACCTTTGGAAATAAAGTTGTTCTTTCGTTCTCTCTCCGCATCATTTGTTTGCGTCCGCATTGCATTTATGTCTGTCTATCTTTCCATCCTCTCTCTCTCTCTCTCTCTCTCTCTCCCTCTCTCTCTCTCTCTCTCTCTCTCTCTCTCTCTCTCTCTCTCTCTCTCTCTAACCACACCCCCCCCCTCCTGCCCCCATATAAGGACGCCAAGAATGGCCCTACACATAACCCTGCTCATCTTATGGCAGCACGGATCTGGGTAATGACACGAGCCGAAATCGATGGGAGGAATCCTCCTGTGTCGTCTTCGATCATCCATCGATCTACTGGTGGTCTCTCTCTCCTCTCCCTCCCCTCCCCCCCCCTCTCTCTCTCTCTCTCTCTCTCTCTCTCTCTCTCTCTCTCTCTCAGCATCGGTGGATATGAATGCGTGTGTCTGTCTGTGAGTATTGGTGTATGACTGTACTAGGGTTGTGTATATGTGTATGTGTATGACTGGACTGGGGTCGTGTATTTATGTATGATTGTACTGGGGTCGTGTATTTATGTATGATCGTACTGGGGTCGTGTATTTATGTATGATTGTACTGGGGTCGTGTATTTATGTATGATCGTACTGGGGTCGTGTATTTATGTATGATTGTACTGGGTCGTGTATTTATGTATGATCGTACTGGGGTCGTGTATTTATGTATGATTGTACTGGGGTCGTGTATTTATGTATGATCGTACTGGGGTCGTGTATTTATGTATGATCGTACTGGGGTCGTGTATTTATGTATGATTGTACTGGGGTCGTGTATTTATGTATGATCGTACTGGGGTCGTGTATTTATGTATGATTGTACTGGGGTCGTGTATTTATGTATGATCGTACTGGGGTCGTGTATTTATGTATGATTGTACTGGGGTCGTGTATATATGTATGACTGTATTGCCGTTATTAGAGCATTTGTGTATGCATTTTGTTTTAATGTTCAGGTCTGTCCACATGTCTGAACTATGTACGAGCCGAGAAAATATAAAAAGTTGTTAGTTTTCTTATCTGACGAAATTCTTCCTTATTGTTTTTACATTGTTTTCTTTTTTTTTTTTTTTGTCTTTTAGCTTAAAGATTTTTCTGTCTTCTGTCCAGTGTTTATTGTAATTGTTTCACATGGGATCATATAGTGTGGCATTTGTTTGGTAGGTTGAGATGAACGTGGGAGCACTGGCATGGGAGCACTGACATGGGATGGATCACTGCCCTGAAAGCACAGTCATGAAATGATGGATATGGGATTGCTGCCATGAGAGCACTGTCATGGAATCACTGCCATGAGAGCACTGACATGAGTCACTGCCATGAAAGCACTGACATAGGATCACTGCCATGAGAGCACTGACATAGGATCACTGATATGGGATTGCTGCCATGAGAGCACTGTCATGGAATCTCTGCCATGAGAGCACTGACATGAGTCACTGCCATGAGAGCACTGACATAGGATCACTAATATGGGATCGCTGTCATGAGAGCACTGTCATGGAATCACTGACATGAGTCACTGCCATGAGAGCACTGACATAGGATCACTAATATGAGAGCACTGTCATGGAATCTCTGCCATGAGAGCACTAACAAGGGATCACGGCTTAGATAACAGTGGTTAGCCTGACTGCCTGCGGGATTTTTCCCACCAGTATGTAGTGCTATATTAATGATGATCATTGTGTTATCCCAGGTGCTCGTAGAAACCCTTGCTGCCCTGGGAGCTTCTATCAGATGGTCTGCCTGTAACATTTACTCCACACAGGTGAGTTTCGATGTCTATCTGTAACATTTACTCCACACAGGTGAGTTTCGATGTCTATCTGTAACATTTACTCCACACAGGTGAGTTTCGATGTCTATCTGTAACATTTACTCCACACAGGTGAGTTTCGATGTCTATCTGTAACATTTACTCCACACAGGTGAGTTTCGATGTCTATCTGTAACATTTACTCCACACAGGTGAGTTTCGATGTCTATCTGTAACATTTAGTTCACATAGGTGAGCTAATAGATCTGCAGTTTTCCACTTAGCAGCAGCCTTCTTCTGTCCAGCTTCTGTAAAAGAAGACCAGTGGACCACACAGTGTTTGTCATCAGAACAAAGATATTTATTTAGGGGCAGAATTTGTGTACATGGAAATCATAACAGGTCAGTAGCCAGACCTTCAGCATAGAAAAATCATTAATACAGTACAACTGGCAATAATCTATGGGCCACGTGTTAGACCTACATGGGTCAGATGTAGTCCGCAGGCTGCCAGTTGAATAGTTCTTTAATCCAACGTTAAGAAATCTGATGCAGTCTCTATAAAAATGTCTTATGGAGTTGACTGTGTGCCAGCTGACAGTAGTTGTACCCATTACTTTTACATACTCTGTGGGAGCTAATCAATACCTGTTCATACGTGACCTTGCACATGTTGACAAACCTCCATCAGTGTGGTTCCACATGTGTGTTGTCGATGATTGTATTCCAGTACCCATTATCTGGGACCAATTCTGAGTGCATTGATTTGTTCTGGTGATCACAACTTTGTTCTATCGATTGTGCAGCTTTGATTTATCATTTACAATTGGCCAGTCTGCCGTAGCCAGGCAACATTCTCACATTAATCCATAAATCCTCTGGTGGCGAATAATTCTCCCAAATTGAAGCCAGGCGGTCAAATTTACTATACCAGTCCCAGAGGTCATAGCTGAATCACATTAGATCTGATTGACAAACACACAGTCATGGGTATACTACCTCCACAGGAGCTAAATATGCAACTTTTGTAGGAGCTTTGTGGGGTTTTGGTGCTTTATTAATATCTTACAGCAAACAGAGAAAATCCACAGGTCATGGGTAGATAGGCTTCATTAACAGCATCAGAAACAGGAAAAACCCAGTCTTTCCACCCTCTAAAATGTTGGACTGTTCTGTGATGTTATCTGGGGTAAGATATTAATAAAGAACCTGGGATTTTACTGTGCCCTGTGTAGACATAAAATCTACAAGACTATAGTGTGTTTCAAAACTTATACAGTCACACTTTCACAGGTATCTCGAAAACTTCTGGGGGCTATGTGGTCTCGAGGCATGGTATCCACTGTGATTGCTGGAGGTTCCAGGTTCAGTCCCCAGTAAGGGCTGAGATTTGTTCACATGGACTTGGACTTCTAGTAATTCCCCCTGGTCTCTGGGTAGTGAGACCAGATGCCCGTGTGCATTGTTGCACACATAAAAAATCCTTTGGCAGTTGGAAATCGAAAAGATAAGTCTAACGGCGATGCCCGGGCAAAATTTGAGTTGAAAATCTACCCAAAGTATTTTAGGATCCTTGCCAATGCTGCAGAGCCTGTGCACTGTGCTGAGCTTCTTCGGACTCAGACTTGAGTCAGAAGAAGAACGGAGCACTTGTAGGTTACCATCTGTGTGCCCTGGTCTTTGTTCAAATTTCAAGCTTCGCAAACTGCTGCAGGATCAACGTGAAGTTTTGCGTGTGGCCTTAGATTTTTCATGTCCGTTTGATTCTGTAATTTACAATTGCTCTGGTGCTGCTGTTTTTTTTAAAGCAGTGAATTTCTTTGATCTTTGACTGATAATTTCTGTACCCTTAAAATATAGAATAGACCACCCCCCCCCCCCCCCCCCCCCCATCCCGTCTTGGGTTCAGATTTTACATTCAGTCTGTCGGAAGGACCATCAGATCAGTACCTGTATTCAGTCTGCTGGTGCCAGATTTGCTTATCGAATTATCCGCCGTAGCTGACCGATATTTTAGGTCAAACATTCAGGTGCATTTAGACGACCATGAGAGTACTGACATGTGAGCACTGATGTGAGAGCACTGGTGTGAAAACACTGCAGTGAGAGCATTGGCATGCGAACACTGATGTGAGCGCACTGGTGTGAAAACACTGACATGAGAATACTGACATTTGAACACTGACATGAAAACATTGGCATGACTGGAATGAAATGTTTCCTTTTGTTCTCTAGAACGAGGTTGCTGCTGCTCTGGCTGAAGCTGGGTACCCCATCTATGCCTGGAAGGGGGAGACAGAGGAGGACTTCTGGTGGTGCATTGACAAGTGCATCAATGCCGAGGGCTGGCAGCCCAACATGGTAAGTACCATGGTTGGCAGTCTCATGTGTGTGGGTTGGCAGTCTCATTTGTGTGGGTCGACAGTCTCATTTGTGTGGGTTGACAGTCTCATGTGGATCGACAGTCTCATTTGTGTGGGTCGACAGTCTCATTTGTGTGGGTTGGCAGTCTCATTTGTGTGGGTTAGCAGTCTCATTTGTGTTGGTTGGCAGTCTCATTTGTGTGGGTTGGCAGTCTCATCTGTGTGTGTTGGAACTCTCATCTGTGTGGGTTGGCAGTCTCATCTGTGTGGGTTGGCAGTCTCATCTGTGTGGGTTGGCCGTCTCATCTGTGTGGGTTGGCAGTCTCATCTGTGTGGGTTGGCAGTCTCATTTGTGCGGGTTGACAGTCTCATTTGTGTGGGTCAGCAGTTTCATTTGTGTGGGTTGACAGTCTCATTTGTGTGGGTCAGCAGTCTCATTTGTGTGGGTTGACAGTCTCATTTGTGTGGGTTGACAGTCTTTTTTTGTGTCATTAGCAGTCATTCTTTTTCTTTGCGTTCACTTCTAGAGTTTGGTCTTGTTCCAGAGCTTGAGTTTTACATGCACATCTGTTTTTCAGATCTGACTGTTTTTATACACACTGTTGATTTCTTGCCTTTCAAGCAGATATGCTCCGACTTCAAAAAGAATAGCCCATAATCAGTCACCTTTTAAAATTTGCTTGTCGTGGCAGCAAGGGTTGACCCCCCACTCCACCCTTGTTGCTCCAGAACCCACACAGAGACCTTATAGATATAATGATGTAACCAACAATCCAACAATCAGATAACTCTTTCCTGTAGATATAATGATGTAACCAACAATCAGATCACTCTGTCCTGTAGATATAATGATGGAACCAACAATCCAACAATCAGATCACTCTTTCCTATAGATATAATGATGTAACCAACAATCAGATCACTCTGTCCTGTAGATATAATGATGTAACCAACAATCAGATCACTCTGTCCTGTAGATATAATGATGTAACCAACAATCAGATCACTCAGTACTGTAGATATAATGATGTAACCAACAATCAGATCACTCTGTCCTATAGATATAATGATGAAACCAACAATCCAACAATCAGATCACTCTGTCCTGTAGATATAATGATGTAACCAACAATCCAACAATCAGATCACTCTGTCCTGTAGATATAATGATGTAACCAACAATCCAACAATCAGATCACTCTGTCCTGTAGATATAATGATGTAACCAACAATCCAACAATCAGGTCACTCTGTCCTGTAGATATAATGATGTAACCAACAATCCAACAATCAGATCACTCTGTCCTGTAGATATAATGATGGAACCAACAATCCAACAATCAGATCACTCTTTCCTATAGATATAATGATGTAACCAACAATCAGATCACTCTATCCTATAGATATAATGATGTAACCAACAATCAGATCACTCTGTCCTGTAGATATAATGATGGAACCAACAATCCAACAATCAGATCACTCTGTCCTGTAGATATAATGATGGAACCAACAATCAGATCACTCTTTCCTATAGATATAATGATGGAACCAACAATCCAACAATCAGATCACTCTGTCCTGTAGATATAATGATGGAACCAACAATCCAACAATCAGATCACTCTGTCCTGTAGATATAATGATGCAACCAACAATCCAACAATCAGATCACTCTTTCCTATAGATATAATGATGTAACCAACAATCAGATCACTCTGTCCTTTAGATATAATGATGGAACCAACAATCAGATCACTCTGTCCTGTAGATGTAATGATGGAACCAACAATCCAACAATCAGATCACTCTTTCCTATAGATATAATGATGTAACCAACAATCAGATCACTCTGTCCTGTAGATATAATGATGTAACCAACAATCAGATCACTCTGTCCTGTAGATATAATGATGTAACCAACAATCAGATCACTCTGTCCTATAGATATAATGATGTAACCAACAATCCAACAATCAGATCACTCTGTCCTGTAGATATAATGATGTAACCAACAATCCAACAATCAGATCACTCTGTCCTGTAGATATAATTATGTAACCAACAATCTAACAATCAGATCACTCTGTCCTGTAGATATAATGATGTAACCAACAATCAGATCACTCTGTTCTGTAGATATAATGATGTAACCAACAATCCAACAATCAGATCACTCTGTCTTGTAGATATAATGATGTAACCAACAATCCAACAATCAGATCACTCTGTCCTGTAGATATAATGATGTAACCAACAATCAGATCACTCTGTCCTGTAGATATAATGATGTAACCAACAGTCAGATCACTCTGTCCTGTAGATATAATGATGTAACCAACAATCAGATCACTCTGTCCTGTAGATAAAATGATGTAACCAACAATCAGATCACTGTCCTGTAGATATAATGATGTAACCAACAATCAGATCACTCTGTCCTGTAGATAAAATGATGTAACCAACAATCAGATCACTCTGTCCTGTAAATAAAATGATGTAACCAACAAACAGATCACTCTGTCCTGTAGATATAATGATGTAACCAACAATCCAACAATTAGATCACTCTGTTCTGTAGATATAATGATGTAACCAACAATCCAACAATCAGATCACTCTGTCTTGTAGATATAATGATGTAACCAACAATCCAACAATCAGATCACTCTGTCCTGTAGATATAATGATGTAACCAACAATCAGATCACTCTGTCCTGTAGATATAATGATGTAACCAACAATCAGATCACTCTGTCCTGTAGATATAATGATGTAACCAACAATCAGATCACTCTGTCCTGTAGATAAAATGATGTAACCAACAATCAGATCACTCTGTCCGTAGATATAATGATGTAACCAACAATCAGATCACTCTGTCCTGTAGATATAATGATGTAACCAACAATCAGATCACTCTGTCCTGTAGATAAAATGATGTAACCAACAATCAGATCACTCTGTCCTGTAGATAAAATGATGTAACCAACAATCAGATCACTCTGTCCTGTAGATATCATGATGTAACCAACAATCCAACAATCAGATCACTCTGTCCTGTAGATATAATGATGGAACCAACAATCCAACAATCAGATCACTCTGTCCTGTAGATAAAATGATGTAACCAACAATCAGATCACTCTGTCCTGTAGATATAATGATGTACCAAACAATCAGATCACTCTGTCCTATAGATATAATGATGTAACCAACAATCAGATCACTCTGTCCTGTAGATATAATGATGTAACCAACAATCAGATCACTCTGTCCTGTAGATAAAATGATGTAACCAACAATCAGATCACTCTGTCCTGTAGATTTACTGATGTAACCAACAATCAGACTTTATTTCCAAAGGGTTACAAATTTAAACAAGATTGGAATGGGGAGTAATAAAAAAAAACCTGGACTTTTGAGAAGGATGGAGAGTTGAATAAGAAACAAAATGGGAGATGTGGAAAGTAGAAGCGGCTTTGGGAAAAGGATAAGAAGAAAAGGGATGTTAACAGAAGAAAGAAAAGACATCAGAATAGAGTAGAGACAATGAAAATGAAGGAATAAAGCATCTAGAAGAAGGTAGAATTGGAAGAGAAAGAAGAGCAGAAAAATATAAACCTGGCTTGTGAACAAGTAGAGAAAGAAGATAGTACAGAGGCACAAAAGCAGGAAGGGTGTAAGTCAGAAGTGATTAATAAATGCAAGATGCTTGTTTGACTTGATAGCAGAAACATAATAACAAGAATTTTGATAGTATTGAAAAAAAAAGAAGTGACATACATGTTAATAGTTATAAAAGCTGTAACAAGAACATCATTGGTTATAAAAGCTGTGGCAAGAACATTAATAGTAGTAAGAGCAGTGACAAGAACATCAGTGGTAATAACAGCTGTGGCAGGAAAATTAATATTAATAAAAGCTGTGACAAGAACCTAATAGTAATGAAAACAGTGACAAGAACAATTATGTTAAAAAAGGAAGTGACAGTGACAAGAACATCAGTGGTAACAACAGCTGTGACAGGTGTGGTAATAGTAATGCAAGCAGTAACAATAAGAAATGAGCTGACTGAATGTTTTCATTAACCATCTTCTCAAAACTTGGTCCTGACAGTGAAGCTCTGTGGATCGATCAGTTGGTTTGTTTACTCTGGGACGCTACCTAGAGGATTACCATTCCATCCTGAGGTTTAGAATCTCAATCTGGATGGCAGACCAACAGAGGCAGATCCAGGATACCCTGTTGAACCTTCAGAGATTGCATTATGAGGGCACCCATAACGACTACACAGCTAGACGTAATCTGCACTTCTGTGCGGGTGGTTAGCGGCAACAGCACACTGGTGAACAAACATTTATATAGCATTGATTTATGGGATATCAAAGGTTGCCAGGTAGTAATTACTTCCATGATCGCAGCTTGTGGGAACAGTGCAAGCTGGCAATGTTCGATGGCCTTGAAACCTGGTCACAAGGTCCCACAATGCTCTAGCTATTGGTTATCGATCTGAGGCAGTTTGTGATAACGAGAGCAGCTTGCATCAAATGTCTTGATCAGTCACTAAAAAAAAATTTATGGTTGCTAGATACAAAAAAAAAATTTTGTTTTTGTAAAAATGTATGGAGCAAAATCTTGGAGTTTTAAGGGTCTCTCTAGAAATGATGCCCTTTAACTCTTTCAATCCCTTGGCATTTTCTTCATTTTCTTGCAGAAAATGCCAGATGGAGTAAACGTCTATTATGAAATGTTACAAACATGAAACATTTAAAGAGGCAAATTGCACAAAGGGTAGCAAATTGTGAAGCCAGATTTCTTTAGTATGCTGTTTCTAAAAGTAAAATGGGGGTGAACACAATTTGCAATGGCTGGGATTCATTTGAGAAAATCTCTTGCACATCACACAGTGCATGGGACTGAAAGAATTAATGTATAGTTTTTTTTTTATTGTTTGGGGTAGTTGTATGTTTCGTCTGTGCTGTTTGATTTCATTCTTTCTGTTTGATTTCATTCTTTTCCTGCCTGGCAGTGTGGAACTAGAGTTTTGCGTGCACATCTGTTTTATAGATATGGCTTATTTGTATGCAGACAGTTGGTTCCTTGCCTCTCCAGTAAATGACTCCAACATCAAAGGAAACCCCTAATTGGTTGATTCTTATGATGTGCTTGTTAGGGAGGCAGTGGGTCTAGGAACTCACACAGAGAACTTCCAAGTCCAAATCTTGAATTAAGAATCAACATCACAGCCTTTGTGACACTCCCATAAGCTCTCCATCCCCGTCTTCAGCAGCAAGCAAAGAGTTCCATTTCCAATGGCACCAGTAACTGTCTGATTGTGTATCGGACTTGCCTTTTCTTTGAGTGATGGTCCATAATGATCTGTCGGTGCCTCCGCACTGTTCACATGCTCCCAATTAGCCCTCAGAACATCCAGCTTGTCATACCTCAGTTCACCACCAAGTGGTGCAGAAATGGCCAGTATATCTGCTTGCTTGTTTCCCAGCACACTGGCATTACCTGGAGAAAATATCCAAAAGACGGATAATACCCAAAGTTCCAAGTCCAAGGGTACCAATGATCAGTTATTTCTAGAATAAGGCTAGTGTCCTGCCTGATGTGCTTTTTCCACATATATTTCCATGTAAGCGATATGTCAGTTGACTCAGCTGTGGTGTTTGCCTGTCCCCAGATCCTGGATGATGGAGGTGATGCCACTCATTGGCTGCTGAAGAAGTACCCGGCCATGTTTAACATGGTCAAGGGTATCGTGGAGGAGAGTGTCACCGGTGTCCACCGTCTCTACCAGCTGTCCAAGACTGGCAAGCTGACCGTTCCAGCCATGAATGTAAACGACTCTGTTACCAAGGTAATCACACTGTGACTGGTCATTAAGTGTCTGTTGTATGTGTCTAGTTATATACTTACTTACTTAGTCGCTCCTCTTCTACCTTGGGGTGTAGAGGTTTGCCAGAGAGATCGCCAAACGTCTCTATCAACAGTTTTCTTTCTGGCTTTGTTCCATTCCAGTCCTCTATCAGTTAGTGACTGTCGGATGTTGTCTTCCCAGCGCACCCTGGGTCGTCCTGGAGGTCTGGTTCCCTGATTCTTAGCCTCCCATGCCTGCCATGGTGGCCAATTTTCTCCCATTCTGCATACATGTCCAAACCATCGTAACTGTGACTGATCCACTCGGGTTTGTAAGGGCTGGGTATCAAGATCTTGACGTATTGTCTGATTGCTTTGTCCCTTCTTGTCACTCGGACCACCTTTCTCAGATATCTCATTTCCGAGGCCTGCAGCTGGCTTCTGTGAGCTGTTGTCATTGCCCATGACTCACACCCATAGGTCAGGACTGGTACATAGGTAGAGCGGTAAACAGCCATTTTCGTCCTCTTGCCAATTTCTCTTTTGCTAAGAAAGCCTCTGTTTATGGCCCGGATGAGTCTCCCAGCAGCTGCTTTTCGTGTAGCCAGCTCAGTCTTAATGCCTCCATTTCGGTCTAATACAACTCCAAGGTATTTGAACTGGTTAACCTGCTCCAATGCATACTGTCCCATCATGATCTGGTGTTTCTTCTCCTCTCTTGAGATCACCATGGTTTTAGTTTTGGAGATACTGATGGTCATCCCTCTCTTTTCAAGCTCTTCCTTCCAGACAAGTAAGTTGGACTGAAGGTGTGCCTCTGATTTAGCTATCAGGGCCACATCGTCTGCAAATGCCAGCTCTGATATACAGATTGGTCTCATCTTCCAGTACCCTACAGAGTACTTCTTTGTCTTCTCCTTACAGGTCTTGATGACATCATCCATCATAAGAATGAAGAGGTAAGGTGAGAGAATATCACCTTGTCTAACACCGCTGGTGGTCTTAAATTCTTCTGACTTTTGGTCTGCTGTTCTTACATAATTTCTGCAGCTTTTGTAGAAACTCTGTATTGCACTGATCAGGGTTGCTGGAATGTTTTTCCCCACCAAGCAGCCCCAGAGCTTGTTCCAGGGTACTTTGTCAAATGCCTTTTCCAGATCAAAAAAACATGGGTGCATTTCACTATTATATTCAGGGGTTTTTTCCTCATCTGTCTCAGTGTGAAGATAAGGTCTTGAGTACTTCGGTTTGCTCTGAAGCCACATTGGGCCTCGTCCAGCTGTGGCTCTACCAGACTTCTAAGTCTCTGCTCGAGAATTCTAGAGTAACTTTTACCAGGGACGCTGAGGAGGGATATGCCTCTGTGGTTTTCACATTGTCTGTTATCACCTTTTTTAAATATAGGTATAATGATGGCAATCTCCCAATCTTTTGGTATAGTTTTACTACACCAGGCTGCCTGCAGAACCTTCAGTAGAAGGCGCTCACCTGCGACACCCATATATTTGACCATCTCTGGTGTTATACCATCATGACCTGCTGCTTTTCCCAGCTTAATCTTCTTAATAGCTGCCTTCAGCTCTACCATCCTGATGTTATCATCCTCATGGATGATTTCCTTCTCAGCAGTGAGGTCCATTATTTCGGGGTCAAGACTTCCCTCAACGCCAAGGAGCTCTGAGAAGTATTCTTTCCATCTGCCCATGATATTATCTGTAGAAGTAAGCAGAGCCCCTTTCTTGTCTTTTATGAATTTCAGTGGGCACTCTTTCTCCTTCCTCATGTTCTTGAGGGTCTTGTAGAACAGTTTTTTGGATTTTCTCTTGCATTCTTTTCCAACTTTTCTCCAAACTCTTCCCATGATTTCTGTTTTGCTTTAAGCACAATATTTTTGGTCTCTGTTCTGAGTGTCACATATTGTTCATATTTTTCTATTTCTTCAGCTGTGTTCCTGGCTGCCAGGTATTGCTTCCATGCCCTTTTCTTTTCTCCTATTTTCAATTTGACTTATTCCGTCCACCAAGGTGTCCTATGTCCCCGCCTTCCACTCGGGACTTCACCACATGCTTCTACTGCAGCTGCTGTGAGGATATTCTTGAATCTGCACCAGAGGGTTTCAGTGTCCTCTGATGGTTCTTCTTCAGTTCCTATTGCTTTCACTATAAGCTCCTGGTATCTAGCCCTAATATCTGGCTCTCTTAGCCTGTATGCCTTAATCCTCATCCCTTCTTGGTTGCTTGGTTTCTTGCATGGTTGTCGGTGTTGCCTTGTTGGAACAGTTCTTTCAGTTCTCTTTATTGTGACCAGATAGTGGTCACTTCCAATCTCTGGTCCTCTCATGACTCTGGCATCTCTAACAAACTTGAATGAACGTTTCCTAACTATGGCATAGTCAATAAGGGATTTTTCATTCTTTGAAGGTTTACATCTTGTGTACGCATGTATGCGCTTGTGGGGGAATTTTGTGTTTGTAATGACAAGGTTCTGTTCCCTGCAGAATCTGAGAAGTCGCTTGCCATTATCATTCAAAACATCTTCACCATATCTCCCGATCACTCCACCCCATCTAGAGTGATCATTTCCTACTCTGGCATTTAGATCTCCTAGGAGGATAATTTCATCGTGACAGTCATCTATGGTCCTTTGGAGCAGTTCAAAGAATTCTTCTTTAACATCAACTCGCTCATCTTCATTTGGCCCGTACACAATAACAATATTGATAATTTTATCTTCTTCTTTCAAATCTAACACCATAATTGGCTCCGAGATGAATTTCCATCCCTTGATGTTACTAACTTGGTTCCTGGCCACAATACAGCTAACCCCTCCCTTAGCTCTCTCCGTCATAGCGACACCACTGTAGAGCAGCATACTTCCATCATGATCTGTGATTCCTTGCCCCTTTTTCTTGGTTTCAGTCAGAGCCAAGACTCCTAATTTTGCTTTCCTCATCTCCACTACTAACTCCTGTTCCTTCCCGTTAATGTTCCATAAATCGTAGTCCGTAAGCCATGCCAGTTCGTCGCCGTTAAGATCCGTCCGGTTTTCTCTCTGTAGTTACTTGTAATCATATTTTAAGGCAAACAGGTGATTGGCCTGTTGTGCCTTTGCATGGTGGAGGGGCTGCCTCCTTGCGGCCTCCATGCAGGCCGTCTGGCTGATTTACGGTTACTCACTACTTCCGGAGACGCATGAAGCACTCAGGTTCAGCCAGACCCTCCTCCTTTTACAGCCGGGCTTGGGACCGGTCTTAGCGGAGTTGTCTAGCTATATTTGACTATTTATGTGTAAGTAGTTGAGTCTCTAATGTGTCTGTTTAGCCTAACCAAAATCTATCCATCCACCCAGCAATCCTTCTGTTTATCTACCCATCCATCCTTCCAGCGGCCTACCTATTTTTTTCTAAATTCTGTTTGTAGTTTCTAAGGCTTGTAGACCAACATGGCCTCATAAAATGACTTGGACCACATGGGCCAGCTAAAGACACTTACTGACACAGAGATAAGCTTTTTGAGAGCAATGCACAGAATCTTATTTCATTATCACAGATCAGGCAGTCCTGGTCGAGACAGATAAAAGTCATAAAATGATGGAAGTTAGACAGTTTTTAAACATGTTAATGGGAACAATTAAACAGCATCCTGTCCTGAAGACTGAGATATTTTAAATGTCACAGTGTCCTGCAGAGAACAGTGATGGATATGCTGTGTGCCTGGTGGCACAGAAAGACCTCAGTGAATGTGGATTCAGTATATAGAAGATACATGGGCTATGAAAGCACAGAACTGGAGACAAGGCTAGAGAAAGAGAGATTTCAGGCGGGACCAGTAATATTCTTGGAAGTAACTGTAGATTGATGCTGATGGCAGTAAAGGACTCAAGAACTTGATAACAACTGACAAGATTGATGGAAGAAGTACAGGGGAATGTGTAGTTAGGAATCGACATTACAGCGCTCGGGACACCCTATAAGCTCTCTGTCCCTGTCTTCAGCAGCAAGCAAAGAGTTCCAATTCCAGTGGCACCAGTAACTGTCTGATTGTATATCCGTCTCGCCTTTCCCCTGAGTGTTAAGCGTCGGCTAGATCACCTGGTAACTCCTCGCATGCTATTCTCTTCAGACCGTAATGATTTATCTGTGCCTTTGCACTGTTCAATTGCTCCTAAAGAGCCCTAAAAACATCCAGCCTGTCATACATCAGTTCACCACCAAGCGGTGCAGAGCCGGCCAGTCTGTTTGCCTGCTCATTTCCCAACACACCGGCATCACCTGAAAATATCCAAAGGATGCTAACTACCTGGGACCTCTGAAGTGATGCTTGCCACTCTGCCTGGAGCATGTCTGTCTACACCTTTCTCAACATGCTCAGTAAAAATCATGGCATGTGCGTACAGCTTATTCCCAAGCCAGCGGAAGGCAGTAGTGACTGCCTCCACCTCCATTCTCAAACTAGACGTTGTGATATCATATGCTAGACTTTGTTGCACCAGGAGACATCCATTCGCTTGTGCTATAAACCTCTATGCACTTCCTCTGCCCCTCAAGACAGAGACATCTGTATAGATATAGAAGTGCAGTGGGTAGACAGAGATTTAAATCCATGGATGGCTAAGCCATATGGATGGAACATGACAAGAACACAGACTTCATCCTTGGTTCTGGTGATCATATGAGATATAGGAACATGACTGCCTACATTTATGTGCCCTGGCACATGATAATGATGAGCCACCCGTCGTGTGGGTTCAAGTTACTATGGTGATGGGATTATTGCAGTGATTCAGCTTGCTAGTTTTGCATATGAGATGTACATTTTCTCCTTACTCTCTCCCTGGGAAGGTCACCAGCCTGGACACAAATGTGGGGATAATGTTGGATATGGTGACCAAAGGGCATACAAAGTCTTGCTTTAGACCAGCGGTTCTCAACCTGTGGGTCGCAACCTCTTTGGAGCTCAAACAACCATTTCACATATATTGAAGTTATAAAGTAGCAACGATAATAATTTATGGCTCGGGGTTACCACAAAATGAGGAACTATATTAAAGGGTCGCAGCATTTGGAAGGTTGAGAACCATTGGTCTGGATACATGGAATCACTGCCCTAGACAGTAACAGTAGAGGAAAATCTATTCCTTTGAAAAGAGCATGTATCCAGATTTTAATCATTACTGTTGTAGGAAGATAAAATATAGAGAACATTTAATGAAAAGAGCATGTATCCAGATTTTAATCATTACTGTTGTAGGAAGATAAAATATAGAGAACATTTAAAAGTTTGTGATTTGAACAACGGATCAACATCATTGCATACGGGTAGTAACCCATAAGTGTTCTGTTCTTCTTCTAACTCAAGTCTGAGTCCGGAGAAGCTCAGCACAGTGCACTGTCTCTGTAGCACTGGCAAGGATCCTAATATACTTTGAGTAAATTTTTAACTCTAAATTTTGCCTGGGCAGCGCCATTAGACTACTCTTTTCAATTTCCATCTGCCAAGGGATTTTTTTTACGTGCGCAACTATGCACACGGTCATCGAATCTCACTACACAGAGACCAGGGGGAATTACTAAAACTCTTAGAAATTCCCAGCCCTTACCGGGGATTGAACATGGAACCTCTAGCACTCCAGGTAGACACCATGCCTTGAGACCATGCAGCCCCCATAGAACATCTAACAATAATTACTGACTGACTTAACATTTAATAATTGGTGCCTGCTTAGACAAGAGAGAATTGAATGATGTGATAGAATCACTGATGTTAAGCTTTGGGCGAGAGCTAAAGTTTTACTATATCAAGAGATGAGGAGAATGCTCTGTTGTTGGATAGGGGATGCATTGAGAAAACCTAAAAATAATATTAGAATGCATTTACTCTGGAACCCACAAGGGTGTAAAAATAAAGGCAGATCAAAAATATTTGGAGAAGGGAACCAAAGAGTGAAGGTAAAAAAATAGATAGGACAGGAGGTAGCTGCGTACAATAGCAAAGGATAGGGTGACTTGGTGTAATTATGTTGAGGGCCCATGCTCCTTAGGGAGTTAAATTGCAGTAGAAAAAAAAAAGAGCGCATATTAATGTTTTTAAATAATAACTATTTTTTTATAATTTATTTTCTTAGTATCTGCCAGTAAATTATGTGGCTGGCCTTTATAGCTAGCTTTATATTGTATCTGTATGTGAAATGTACTATAGACATAACCCGCTGTTTGTGTAAATCACTTTCACACTTGCTTTTGGTTTCAGACCAAATTTGACAATCTCTACAGCTGCCGGGAGTCTATCCTTGATGCGTAAGTTCAGTCTTGTTTATATTTCTATTTGCTATAGAAATAAAGGTTGTTGAAGGATTGTTATCTGGGTATTAATGTTGACTGGATGGAGAATTACCCTGTATGCATTGGTTTGGTGCACAAAGTGGTGAGAATGGTGGTGGTGTGGTGGAATGTGTGTGTTCATTGCAGAGATATCTCACTCTTGTAGTGTAGGCAGATATACGCATCCTGAAGCTTGTTGTACAGTGTGGGCGGATGTCAGGCACCATCTTCTTGTCTGTTGTGTGGTGTAGATGGATGTCAGTGACCATCTTCATGTCTACTGTACAGTGTGGGCAAATGTCACTGAACATCTTTATGTCTACTGTACAGTGTGGATGGATATCAATGACCATCTTCATGTCTATTGTACAGTGTGGATGGATATCAGTGACCATCATCATGTCTATTGTACAATGTGGATGGATATCATTGATTATCTTCATGTCTATTGTACAGTGGGCGAATGTCAATGAAAATTTTCATGTCTATTGTAGTATGGGTGAATGTCAAAGACCATCTTCATGTCTATAGTACAGTGTTGATGGATGTCAGTGACCATCCTTATGTCTATTGTACAGTGTGGGTGAATGTCTGTGAATATCTTCATGTCTATTGTACAGTGTGGGTGAATGTCTGTGAATATCTTCATGTCTATTGTACAGTGTGGATGGATGTCAGTGACCATCTTCATGTCTATTGTACAGTGTGGTTGGATGTCAGTGACCACAAGGAGCATGAATATTAATGCTGCATCATTTAACTGATTTTTAACCTTTTCTCAAGAGGAATCTCTCACCTAGTTCTGTCCCTTCAAGTCCTGCATAGTCAGCTGCATGATTTGGGTCATCAGGTGTGAGCTGGTGAAGAAACTTATCCCTAAAGCTGTAATTTAGTTTGCTGGAACCTGAGTTGTGAGTTGGGTTGTCTCTGCAGCACTTTGGACATGTCTTTAGACCAGTGGTTCTCAGATTGTGGGTCAAGACCCTTTATGGGGTCAAATGACCCTTTCAGTTGGATCACCTAAAACCATAGAAAACACATATTCTTTGAAGTTATGAATGTAGGAAAATAATTGTTTAGGTCTTCCCCGTGTGGGTTCCGGTTCCCCATTGTGGGGAAAACAAGAATAGACCCACTGCCTCCCCAAAAGCATGTCGTAAGAGCCGACTAATTGGGGAGCTTCCTTTGAAGTTGGAGTGCATCTGCCAGAGAGGCAAGGAACCAACAGTCTGTATTCAAGAGAATGAGATCTGTTAAACTGATGCACACGCAGCACTCAGGTTCTGGAGCAGGACTGCAGTTGAGTAATGGACGAGCAACCAGAACTTTCCGCCAGAGTGTACAGCTGGTGAACGCGAAGAAGAAGAATAATTGTTTAGGGGTCACCACCATGTGAGAGAGCTGAAATAAAGGGTCGCGGCATTAGGGAGGTTGAGAGCAACTTCTTTAGGGGCTGAGATTCCCTCTTAAACAAATATACGCGTCCTGTGCTAGTTGACTTCTTGTTTATCCAATGGGCCTCTTATGCTGATCTTTACTCCCCCTTCTTGCATTCTTAGCACTGATATGATAACTGCCCCCAAAATCCTCAGATTATTGAATCTCTCTAAAAGCATTAAGTCTCTGCACATCAGCTAAGGCAGAACCTGCCAGTCTGTCAGCTGTTTTTTTGTTGTTGTTTTTTTTTTGCCAAAAGCACCCACATGCCAGGGACAGGGATGAAAGTAATGCCAGGGATAGAGAAGAAAGTATTGCCAAGGACAGAGATGAAAGTAATGCCAGGGACAGAGATTAAAGTATTGCCAGGGACAGAGATGAAAGTATTGCCAGGGACAGAGATGAAAGTAATGCTAGGGACAGAGATGAAAGTATTGCCAGGGACAGAGATAAAAGTAATGCCAGGGACAGAGATGAAAGTAATGCCAGGGACAGAGATGAAAGTATTGCCAGGGACAGAGATGAAAGTATTGCCAGGGACAGAGATGAAAGTATTGCCAGGGACAGAGATGAAAGTAATGCCAGGGAAAGAGATGAAAGTATTGCCAGGGACAGAGATGAAAGTAATGCCAGGGACAGAGATGAAAGTAATGCCAGGGACAGAGATGAAATAATATCACGCACAGTGAAGTTCATTAATGACTCAGTCCACTGTCTACATACAGAGCCCGCGTTGACCCGCCAAATCATGCTGCCCCCTGTGTGAGTTCTTCTCTCTTTGTTCGCTGGCTGTTGACGATGAGGACGGAGCATGCATGGGGATGCCTCGAGTGCTTTAATGTCAGTTCTTGACTCAGCTTAACTCTCTGTTTGTTTTACAGACTCAAGAGAACAACAGATGTGATGTTTGGAGGCAAACAAGTACTTATCTGTGGCTACGGAGAGGTTTGTTGATTGATGTCTTACTTCAGTCTTTCTTATTCCTCCAGTTTGTTGCTGTCTAGCATGGACAGTCATGTCCCCACACAACCTTTGTTGTTATGAGACGACACTGTCATGTATCCTTTCTCCTGCTTATTATTTTCCTGCCAGCTGTTATGTATTCCAGCTGTTTTAATTTTTTTATTTAACCTATTGTTGCCAGAAAATATGTTGTGTGTTTTTTTTTTCTTGTTTTGTCTGCTGTCTGTACCAAATGTTCCTGTGTTCTAACTACTTTCAAAACACCCCCATTAACACGTATTTTGGCTCTCCATGCCAATTTTTTGTATACCCCAGGAAACCATATTTATTTGCTCTGAAATTTGTGTGGATGTGGGTGCGAGAGAGAGCGTGCAGTACAGTTATCTCAAGAAATATTTTAAGTTGTTTTTCTTAGTGCTTGAGTATGTTTATTTTTTTTATGTGACTTTGTAAAACAGATAAAACAGTGTGTGGATCTTGCAGAAGTCTCTTAGGGATGAAATCACCTGACATGTGTAAGTACGGGACAGGTGTAAGTACCAGACAGGTGTAGGTACTGGAAAGGTGTAAGTACTGGAAAGATGTAAATACCAGAAAGGTGTAAGTACCGGAAAGGTGTATGTACCAGAAAGGTGTAAGTGCCAGAAAGGTGTAATGTAAGCACACAGAGTAATCAAAGATGTGTTCTGGTTGCAGGTTGGCAAAGGCTGCAGCCAGGCTCTGAAAGGCCTAGGAGCTATCGTCAGTGTCACCGAGATCGACCCAATTTGTGCTCTCCAGGCCTGGTGAGTAGGCAAACCTGAAGCTGTAGACTACATTTCATTTCACCAATTAATCTGTGTCCAGTAGGGATGTAAATGACCAATTAATCTGTGTCCAGTGTGGATGTAAATGACCAATTAATCTGTGTCCAGTATGGATGTAAATGACCAATTAATCTGTGTCCAGTATGGATGTAAATGACCAATTAATATGTGTCCAGTATTGATGTAAATGACCAGTTAATCTCAGTGTCCTGTCTGGGTGTAAATGAACAGTTAATCTCAGTGGCCAGTATGGATGTAAATGACCAATTAATCTGTGTCCAGTATGGATGTAAATGACCAATTAATCTTTGTCCAGTATGGATGTCAATGACCACTTAATCTGTGTCCAGTATGGGTGTAAATGACCAATTAATCTGTGTCCAGTATGGATGTAAATGACCAATTAATCTGTGTCCAGTATGGATGTAAATGGCCAATTAATCTCTGTCCAGTATGGATGTAAATGACCAATTAATCTGTCCAGTATGGATGTAAATGACCAGTTAATCTATGTCCAGTATGGATGTAAATGACCAGTTAATCTGTGTCCAGTATGGATGTAAATGACTAATTAATCTTAGTGTCAAGTATGGATGTAAATGACCAGTTAGTCTGTGTCCAGTATAGATGTTAATTACCAATTAATCTCAGTGTCCTTTGTTATAAGTGACATATTTAATCTCTGTTGACAGCATGGATGGATTCAGAGTGGTCAAGCTTGAGGAGGTGATCAAAACCACAGACATGGTGGTCACCTGCACCGGAAACAAGAACGTAGTGACCAGAGCCCACCTGGACCGGATGAAGAATGGCTGCATCGTCTGCAACATGGGTCATTCAAACACTGAGATTGATGTGGTGAGTGCACTGACTAGTTTGTGGTGCAGCCACAGGCCTTGATGTAGTAAATATAGTCCACTCACGGCTGATTGGTCTACTCACATTTTACTAACCCTCACTTGATTTTGTGAATGAAGTCTATTAGTGGGCCACTCATGGCTGCTTCGCTCACCCATGGCTCCTTGGCCCACTCATATTTTCTTGACTCCCTCATGGCTGACTGGCCCACTCATGGCTCCTTAGCTCACTCATAGCTCCTTGGCTCCCTCAAGGCTGACTGGCCCACATGGCTCCTTGACCCTCATGGTTGACTGGCCCACTCATGGCTCCTTGGCTCCCTCATGGCTGACAGGCCCACTCATTGCTCCTTGGCTCCCTCATGGCTGACTGGCCCACTCTTGGCTCCCTCATGACTGACTGGCCCACTCATGGCTCCATGGCTCTCTCATGACTGGCTGGCCCACTCATGGCTCCTTGGCTCCCTCATGGCTGACTGGCCCACTCATGGCTCCTTGGCTCCCTCATGACTGACTGGCCCACTCTTGGCTTCCTCATGACTGACTGGCCCACTCATGGCTCCTTGGCTCCCTCATGGCTGACTGGCCCACTCATGGCTCTCTCATGACTGACTGGCCCACTCATGGCTCCTTGGCTCCCTCATGGCTGACTGGCCCACTCATGGCTCCCTCATGGCTGACTGGCTCACTCATGGTTCCTTGACTCCCTCATGGCTGACTGGCCCACTTATGGCTCCTTGGCTCTCTCATGGCTGACTGGCCCACTCATGGGTCCTTGGCTCTCTCATGGCTGACTGACCCACTCATGGGTCCTTGGCTCCCTCATGGCTGACTGGCCCACTCATGGCTCACTGGTTGGTCCACTGATGGATAACTCTGGCCCATGAATGGTTTACTTGCCCTTACTGAAAGA